TGTCTGGCCCTGATAGCAGTTGCTGCCATGCTAAATATTGACTAAAGGTAGACGCACACTCAGATAAACAGTGAGATATAAGGTAGAAGTACTTGTCATAGCTCTCCAATTCCCAAGACTTGTATGCTCTAATTTAATTCAACTAATATATTTATGCTTTTTAGGCATATCAGATGCAAATGCTTAAACAAAAACAATTATATGACTAAAAAGTTTTAAAATGAGTACAGCCTGTTCACAAAAAAATGTAATTTTTCTCCATATTTAGCTTAACTTTCTTTACACACTTCATAATACTGTCACACTCTCAGCTACACCCTATGTAATTAAACATAGCTAGGAAAAATACAGAGAATTAGAGAATAAAATCAGAAATAAGAAACAGGCTAGCTGTGAATGTACCTGATGCTCTCAGTGGGAGACAAGGCTTGAAGGCTGTTCTAAGATGAAGAAAACATCAACCTTTTTATAGAATCCCAAATCAAAACCAGCTAAGAAGCCTGAGAAAGAAAAGAGCTTGACAGTACCATACAGTTATAGACAATAGTAAGGAATTTTGCTACCCACATCCACATAGCCAGCCAAGCCTTTCATTCATATCCTTTCTCCTACTTCCACTCAGCCCCACAGGTAGCATTCAAAAAAATCTTTCAGGCATCTTCAAGAATAAAAGATTCAATTTTATATTAAGGCTCACACTGTGTAAGAACAATGCCTACTTAAGAAGTCAAGTTCTGTGTCTAGCTATTGGAAAGAGTACTTGGGTTTCCACTGAGTTCATAAGCAATTTACTATAGGAAAGCAGGAAATTTCTGTAGCCTCCCATCAGGTGGAACCTGAAACAGCTGAAGTCAGCTCACCTAGAGAGATGAGCTTTTCTTTCCTTACAATTCCTTCCTCCCATTTCAGAACCTCCTAAACAAAAGCTATGAGGTTCTGTGACCTTAGCTAATAGGTTCATATTTCATTAATTATTCATTTTCACAAACAGTTATGAGATAGACCTCTGTGACTTTTGCTTGTAACTTTTTCAGAGGTACTGCCAGACAGAATTTCCCTGGATTTTAGTCACTCACTCTTAGAGATCACACGTGCAAAGTCGGCAATACTAATTGGTGTCTATTTAATGCAATCTAGAAATACGTACATTAAAGGACAGCAGCATTAGCTGTAGATATAAGCTCATGTGGCCCACATCAGAAAAATGATCTTCACAAGTGTCCTGTGCATGTATCATGTAATTAAAGGGTACAGGCACTTGAGAACGTACAGCACAAATCTACCTGTATCATTGCTGTACAAATGTGGAATGGAGGCAAGTTTTGTAAAGAGAAAGGAAACATTACATCTTTTAAAAGGCTTTTAAAGGCTTTTATGACATGACAACACACAGGAATATGGCTAGGTGACATTGCTCTGTGATGGGTGCAAATCCATTTGTTAGGTGTCCTTACAAGCAGCTATTAATGAAACACTGCCAGAAAAGAAGACACTCAAACAAAGTTCCAGAGTCTAATCTTGGTCTGGTTCTATTTAATTCTTTACTCTTGATCAGGTTGATAGAAAATAAATTATACTCATGTAACTTCAGATAAAAGTAAATTAAAAGGTGGTGCAAGTGTCAGAAGGAGAGAATTAAAACACCTGAAGATCTTGCAAATTGAAGAAATAGTCTGGAAAAACAAAAGTAAGTATGCTATTCAACAGAGACAAATGTAATGGTTTACATCTAAAAATAAATATATACATAAACAAGTAAAAGATGGGAAACAGTGATGGCAGCAGCTCTTTCAGCAGGACACAAGGGCTGCAATAAATTAGAAAAACATGAATCACTCACAACATGCTATTCTGAAAACAGAAAACATCTCACTGGGATGCAGAAATTGTAACAGAGCTGAAAAGCATATAAAAGAATGCTTCTGCTGGGGTATTCTGACAGTACAGCATTTCAGCTAGGTGCTGGACCAGCCAGAGAAGGTCTAGAGAAGGAGAGTAAGAACAATTTAAGGTATAAATATAAGTCTTATATTAAAAGACTGAAACATATATAGCCATGTGGAAGGCATAATGAAAAATGAAGACAAGCCTTTTTTTAAGGTTTTGTCTATGCCAGTAGTGAATTAGGTGAGAAATTATGATCTTAAATTCCATAAAGAAGAAAGATTCAGGTTATACTTTATTAAAATCTTCCTAAGAGGACAGACAATAAAGCAACACAATAAGTTGCCTGGAAAGATTATGAAGTCTGCTTCTCATCAGAAGGAGATGGCCTAAATCATCTTGACAAGATGACTTCACATTTATCAGTAGTCTATAACTATGTTCTTCCTTAAATATATATACATATAAACATATATATTTGCATGGAAACATACATAAAACAGATAAATAGAACACCTCAAAATTAAAAATAGAAAACTTGGGAAATAAATATATTTTATTTAAATAAATACCAAAACTTACACTATCATCTTTCCAATCTTCATCCTTTAATGTCAAAGCCAATTGTAAAAATGGGACCAGGGCATGGCCAAAATAAAGGTATTTTCCAAATATGAAGCTATCTAATTGGCATATTCACAATATTAGAAACTCTAATAACTTTTATCTGATTAGGACAGCTTGGTGTTCACCCAGTAATAAAATTGTAAAAATCCCTCCTTTTTTTTTTCAAGAGAAGAAAAATAACAGAAACTATCAAATTAAAATATTCATAGCTTGTATTTATATGCCATAAACTTAGTTACTAATTATACAGTAACTGCCAAACTGCTATGCTCTTGTGATTTTTGTAATGATAGATTTGAGGATCCAACAGGACAGGCTGCATCATAATATCTACACATGAAATATCAATGAATGTACCAAAAAAATATATAATTACAAGAAAATGCTTATTTAATTACTTACCTGTTAACTACACACAAAGGTGCATAACAAAATGGATATTTAAAAAATATTGATGAATGTGCTGGTTATAATGCTGTTTGTAACAATCCTAATTTGAAGAAGCTTATTTAACATTTTTTGGCAAAGTTTCTGTTTCTTACCCAGTATTTTAAAGTTTAGTTATCAGCCTTCAATTGATACTCAATTTAACTTCTGGCTACTCTTCTGAGGGGTTTTATATCCTGGTTACCTATTTCTAGACAAAAACAACTTATCAATTATAAGTCTTCTAGGTCTATTAGCAATCTCTGACCTTTAAAATGCAATACTCAGAAATAAATATTGATAAGGCATAGCACTGTGACTCAGGAGACCAGAGTTTTAATACTGGTTTTTTTAGCTTGTTTTGCATGCATCCATGGACAAACTATTTCACCTGTCTTTGCCAACCTGCCCCCATCATTTAAAAAAAAAAAAAAGCTGATGTCATTTTTAAGCACTCTGGGTCTCGTTCAACCATTCTACCCATTGAAGCTTATCTAAGACACTACAACTAGTTTTCCCTGGTGACCAGGTGGGCAGCTGGAACAATACCCTTACTTTTCTCATAACAAGATAAGAAGAATGATTTCAATCTGAAGCCTTATTATTCTGGCAATACCCCTATCTCATGCTGTCCTCCCAAACTACTTGGAACTACAGAACTTGAATGCGGATGGTTTTAGGTTCTAGTGTGAATTCAGCCCATGTTCATCCAGGAATGACAGTAAATCTGAAGGCTGAGAGAGAGATAAGACAGAATTATCATTTGAGATCTACAGAAGAAAAAAAATTATAAAGGATTTGGTATATCTACAGTGTTATCCATCTAACAATACTGGAACAAATGGTATACTTCTGACTTGCAGAGGGAACAGAATGTAGCTTGGCTGAAATCAGGTTTTTCTCCCTTTTTCACAAGTAAAAAAAAAAAAAAAAGGACATAATTGGCAGTTTTTGTTCAATAATTATTAAGTATCCCAGAGTACTTGTAGCAAGATTCTGAGACTTCCTTGAAACTCTGTAGCTCATTTTGCATATTCAGAAACCTGAATATTCAGGAACCAACTGAAGCAATTTCAGCTACAAAGGCTTTCAATACTCAAAAATTTTTTTGGGGTTTCAATCATTAAACTTTTTCATTTCCTTCAAATTTAGCTGAGGCTGGGATAACAGTCTGGAGCTCAAGCCAGAAAAATAAAAAAAAAACTTTATCAGAGTCAAAGCCATACATCAGAAAGAATTCAGCCTGTGGGTATGCTCTGTCATTTGAAGGTACTTCCCTACCTGTCCTGAAATGAAAATTTACAGCTGCAGGCTTCTGTTGCACCTTTGTCTGCTCAATAAATGTGAAATAACCACAATGTTTTGACATAGTAACTGAAGATTTTCCATTTGAATGTGGATCTTACCACAGCTGCCCATGCTCTTGCCACCTTTCCTGCTTTTGTGTTCTACGCTCATTTCCTCATGGGGATGGCACAACACATTGCAGCTGTCAGGCAACGTATTCTCCTGGTAACTGCAGTGTTTTGCACAAAACACCTGTATTGCAAAATCTGCCTGACTCTCAATCATTTTTCTGGCTGATGTTCTGACTTACACAGTTTGGATCAAGATTGCCACAGATACATGATATCATTTTTTCTCATATCTTCTGCTTAGTAACAAGATGATTATCAAAGTAATTCTGGATTTAAAAAAAAGACTTTTTTTTTTCCATGGGAATTACTACTAAAATTAGACAAACAGAAGGGATTTCATGCTCTAAAATGAAGCAAAAATAAAACAGAATTTAGTCATCGCATTTGCATACTGGCGATAATCAACTGTTGACTCCTTATAAAGACATGTTTTAAAGGTATTTAAATGCTGGCTTCCAAGAAATGTAAAAATATATAATAACTGCAAAGCAAATAGTACAGCTTCTCTTTCTTGCATGCGCTCTACTTGAGTAGAATACTGACTGCATTTGATGTCTTTTCAGCACAGACATGAGCTACCTGTTCCATTCATTTCAAAAACAGTTTTAAATGGATACTGAAATGGATTTTACCAGTAGGACAGACCTATCTCATTAAAGCCACTGTAGCCCAGCTCTTGCCTGCTTAGTCCCAGATCTTCAAGGTCCATGCATTTAAATCCAGGTGGGCACTGGTAACCTTCTTCTAGCTCTCTGGAACAGTGGGTGTCTGGGATAGCTAAATTATTCCAGGTTACATTTCTGTGAAAAATACAAAATTAAGTTGTTACATAAACTCAGTCCATAGAAAAACTAAATATTTGAAAGTGAGAGGACTAAACAGGAAAAGTTCATCAGCTGTTATTTTTACTATCTGATGTTCTTTGGTATAAACTGTTTTCATTAATTAAGCAGTTATTGTAAAGGGCAAGCTAACACACTACTGAAACTTCATCCTTATGTAATGACAGTACAAATACTACCAGCAGAAATTTCATACTAATGCCTAGATACCCCATAAAAATGGAGACTCTCCAAGAAATGGAAGAGTTAACATTCAGCAGCTCCAGCTGTTCTTTAATGCAAGTTGAAGACCACATTTCAGGCTGCTTTGCAGATCCTGAGTGTGTTTAACTGTAGTCAGTACTATGACTTTGACTTACAATGGAATTACCTGTGCTTGCTTTGACACTCCTTAGAAGGATCCTTGTGGTTGACTTGTCAGTCACCAGAGTATGTATACAGCTTCTTGTAACTTGGTCAGAACAGGTTTCCACCACAGATGAAGGGTCACAGGAAAAAAGTCAAATCACTACATGTGTGGTGCAATTAGTATCTAGGCACTGTTGTGACTGAAACAGATCTCTGACTTTTAGGTCACTCCAGTAATGAATTGGTATAAGACGTGAAAAAATTTGAACTGGTTTGAATTGGTTCAAGCTGATTTATGTAAGTGACTGTAACATTTTAAAATAGAGAGATCATGAGACAAGGGCCAGTGCCATAACAAAATGTCACAGTGTTGGCCATTTTTTATTGTCAGAGGCAACACATCACTTGTTTTCCCAGTTTCTCTGGCAGCTGTGGTTGAGCTACTGGAGGCTTTGTCACACTGGACCACAATGGGAATTTAGGTAGCTGCAGCGCTAAGGGCCATAGAAGCTAAAAGAAGAGGGAGGACAAGTTTGTTGCTCTCTGCTGTATTAAATATATACCTCTGGCATGGACACATAATTATGGGTTATTTAAGTACTCCCAAACTTATCACTCCATTCTCCCAGAAGTAGTTAAGTGGTAACCTTAGGAAACTACCCCTTCCACCCTGAGCAGTTCCCTGCCAGGGTCTGCAAAGCAACACAGCACAGAAGTGGGGATTCACGTCACTTGAGCTATGGGGCCGCTGGGTAAACCAAAGAGAAGAAAGGTCCAAATAAGGCTCCAACTCTGTTGAATGAGCACACAGCTAAGCAACAACTGTTTTTCTCCCTGCTCGTATTCTCTCATCCAGCAAATGAAAATTCCTGAATTTTGGTTCACTTTTAGGGCAATTTCAAATCAGACATGAAAAGCTAATCACAGTGAGTTCTGGTCTGAGAAAAAAAATAGTCAATGGCATTTTCCATTCATGTTCAGGTTGATTTTGACTTCCTGGTTACAGCACAGACTTTTGATATAAAAACACCCAAAATGAATTGCTGAAAGTTATGAAAAAAATTTTGTAGTATTCACTCTGTTATCCTGAGGCATCAACTAGTGTCTTAAAATACATCATTTAAAATCATCTTGCTTGTCTACAGAAAAGGTGAAACTTTTCAGCCTGCCCTTCAATATAATTAGTATCTTATTGTTCTTCTGAAAGTCCTTTTCCTTTAATCTAACTCACAGATGCATTTTGACAACTAAACTGGGTGAACAGAAGCTTTAATTACCTTATTTTTATTGCTTTTATGCACTGCATGGAATAGCATTACATTATTTGAAATCTGTCAGTGTAAAACCAAAACACCTTACAATTTTTTTCCTAGGCAATTATAAATGCAGATAAATAATAATTGTGGCATCCATACTGCAGTAATTTCTTTATGATACCAGAGAGACATATATATCTGCATGGATGTGCACACAGACATGTACAATTCCAGATGGAGTTTTAAAGAACACCCTAAAATTTAGCAATGTACATAACTAAAAAGACAGACAGATACAGAAGCATATGTGTATTTGTTCCATGTTTGTAAACATGGTCAGCACATGTCACTCAAGCATTTCAAAATTGATCTGTTCACCCTAATTCCTTTAAACTAGATGTTAATTCATACTCAGTTGCAGGCTTTATGTCAGATTTATGATACTGCCACCCAAAAGCCATTATCATATATAGGGTTAACATAAAACAATATTTTACATATATTTTTAGAAACTAAAATTAATGCATCGACTCAGGCATATTCAGAAGCCCAGCTACTGGTAGCTAATGAATAAACATTATGGCTTGCATCAGAAAATCCCTCAAATCCCAAGAGGGCAGCAGAGTGAGGGCATTTTATTAAAAGCATTGCTGGCTCTCAATCACTGCAATGCAAAGCCTTCATTTAAATGCTTTATTTAAACTTAGTTAACGTTTTGGATTTAACATCCTCTTTAAGGGAAAAAAAAAAAAGCTGTCTGCGAGCACTTAGTATGGTTTAGACCAAAAATGAAGTCTCTGCTTCTAGTACACCTCTACAGATACAGGCCTTTTTGGATCACTGTCACTTGGCAAATTGTTTTCTGCCTCAAGACAGTAAATAAGCATAGACTAGTACACATGGAATATCTAGAGAATATCAGATATATAGATGAGGCTAGAATATCACCAGATGTTTTCAATATAAGATGATTTAAATTTTATTCCTTCATTGGCTGTACTCAGTATCAATTAAGTACTGAGATACTGATTCATCCCATAATTAGTTTAAAGCATCTCAAAAGTTCAACTAGGCAATGTGCTTAAATGTCTTGCTGAACAGGATAAATTGCCTGGATGAATTTATGAACAAGAAATAATTTACCCCTATAGTCCAACAATATTTCTGTGCAGAGTATTCAATGTCTGTGGAGCGCAGCATCAACCTAACAGATGAGCTGAGAAATTACTTCTCCACAGGAATGCCAAGGATGGGAAGGACATAATTGACTCCACTTCACTTGATAGGCATCCTTCAATAACAAGATTGTTGCAAAATGTATAGGACTGTTAGTCTAACATGTTTTTAAGTTCCTGAAGAATTTGTATACTACACAAAGGACATGAATTGATGTCTCTTGGGAGTACAGTGCCTGTTTTCCATGGCATCTGTTACAAAACTGGACTTTCAACCACCATGTACTCATGTGAGAACAATCCCTCTTTTAGCACCTCCTCCTTATTAGGGCAGTTCTTCAAAGAGGGGTTTTCATACCTTAAGACACAAATTACCATGGTAGCTTCTAGCTTCCTGTTTTCTGCTAGCCTGACTTTCTCTGCTGAAAATAAAGATGGGGGAAAAAGGGGATTTCTTAATTCTGGTATTCTATTAATTTTCTAAGATATCACCACAAAACCATTCCAAAACAGAAAGCTTCTTGTGCAATTTCCAGATCCAGAAAATTAAAAAAAAAACCAAAAAAAACCCCAAAAAAACCCAACCAAACAAAAAAACCCAAAAAAAAAAACAAACAAAAAAACCCAAACAAAAAAACCCCAAACGAACCAAAACCTAAGTATTATACTTATAAGGTAAGATAAGGTAATAAAAAATAATTTCAAATGATTGATTAGGTAAAGAAGTTAATAAGTAAAAATTACTTAACTGGAGCTAAAGGATTTTCTGTATTTGTTAAAAGGAACCCTATGTCTGTCGCTGTACAAAACCAGGCACTGCCCAGCTGCTGACTGGAGAGCTACTGCATGTTAAAAATACCATAGCAGACCTAAAAAATGGCTGATAGATCATGACGCAAATAAATATCAGTGGTGCAGCTTCCAAAGAGGGAGCAATACATTAACTGGGGCTCAGAGGAATTGGCACTGTGTTCTGAGCTGTCCATTTTCATTAGTGACCTGGAGGACCCTATGCACCCAGCTCTTCATCAAAATCACACCAAGCATATGATGAAGGATAACAAAAACCTTTGAGAACAGAGAAAGATTATGCAGTTCTGAAGACTTTAAAGGTTACTCTCAATAACTGTGATTTAATGTCAAGCAACAAATTCAGGAAGTGATGAAACCTAAACAAAAAATGGACACTGCTGTATAGAAAGTATTAATACAGAAATAAGCTTAGATCAGGTGACTGATAAAAGATTTTTCTTTTAGATAAGAATTATAGTTTTTTATTTTGCTAGATGTCGAACTCTGAACATACAATTCTGAAAAAAAAGCCAATCCTGTAAGTTTTGGAAGAGATGCTTCTGCTTTGCCATATTGCCAGAACACAAGGGAAAAGCACCAAGCTAGTGAGACTCTAGAAATAAACTTTAAATAAATCCAGAGAAGTCCGTGCTACACAGACCTTCTTCCTGAAGCTCAAATTAAATGGATGCTGGGCTAGAATCTCTCAATAAATGCTTTCTGATGAAGTAATACTGTGTTTCTACAATGGCTTCAGACAAGTTATCTGATGAATATGAATACACTGCTCTCTTACATATATCAGTCAATGATACCTGATTAATTGGTCTTTATTCTGTAAATCAGGGTGATCTACTACCATAAAACAACTTTCTCACACAATTCAATACAATTATTATAGTCCATGAACCTATTTTTTAAAACTTTACTTTTTATCTTTTATCAGTATTTTATGAAATGAGATGTAATTTACAAGCTGAATTCATACTGGTAAAGTAAAGTCAGCTGTCATAAGCATTCTGTTTTTAACAATGTTTTGGTGCTTTTTTTTAAACAACAAAATATAAAAGCAAAATATGTATAGATGTACATTAATGGTAGTGGAACCTCTCAGGTCACAAATCTGGTATAGCAAATGCTAATTTCTAGGGTAGCAAATAAAAACTTCTTTATTATGAATATATTTATAATTCATTAAATCATGCAAAAGAACAGATGCTCACACCAAATGCAGAATAAGTTGTTTAGTCACCAACACTTCACACTCTTGATTTAAAGCTCCCTCCCACAATAAGTCCCATGAAAATAGCCAAAATTTGTAACTCAATTTTATTTTCCTCACACTGGTTACTCCTGCCTTGGGGATGCCCCATGGTAGCCCTCAACA